AGGATTTCTCGAAGCTCCTTAGGGTATTCTTCAATGTTTCCCCGTCCGCCGAAGACTGCTACACGCTAGTGTTTTTTTCCACAGCGGCACAAAACAGAGCAAATTCGTCTGCTTGGCCGGTTGGTTAGCCGCTTGTCGCGCACTATAGTAGGATTTGGTCACATCCTGTCTCTTGGAGTGTCAGATAATTGAGCGGCTAGGCATAAACTTCATTGTTCGGCAGAAAAATGCATTCAGCTTCAGTCCGAGCAAACCATAAGACGTCCTCATTAGTTCCCTGTGAGTCATCTTCCCCTTCTATAACCTGCTGTGTCATAAACACCAAAAACCAGGAAAGAAGCTCGGGGAATGATGATGATGGTTCCTTGTGGAGAGCTAATTGGTCTGTAAGAGGTGGCAATTAAGACAAAAACCGCTGGCGAAGCCCGGCATAAGTTAGCGAAGGGTGGTTTGGATAAGGAGGGCGTGCTCGAGTGGCTCGTGATTGAGAATAAGAGGGCGGAGGGACAATGCACAATGAGGGGTATAGTGTTGGCCACGAGCAGAGCATGCTCGAGCACCCTCGAGCAAGTCCCTCGAGCAGAGCATGATCAAGCAGGACCCTCATAATCTGCTCGATCATGATTGATTACTTCTATATGTATCTGTCTTGGTAATCATGTGATATTACCCATCAATATATAGACCATCGAGTCTCCCCTGCACATTCGATACTGTATCGTCCGCACAATGCTCCACTACTGATTCTTGAACCTGGATCACTTACAACTTTGCTTTCTCAGAATGTTCTCACCGCTCTCATCATTCCCGACCCCTCGGCAAGTGGCAGGAATGCAATCAGACTCTCTGAGTGAAAGAAATAGTGCAAACAGATGAGGCGAAGCGGAAGTAAGTTTAGCGAGTGACGACCTGTGAGAGCTTGGCAACAACCTCAACGTTGACCCAGCAACTAATGTACTTCACGCGACAGCGAGCGCCCGACATAGTGAGCCATCTGCAAGTTTGGGCAATGTGATTGGCGGAGCCTCAGTCGGTGGACGCCTCGCTAGTATGCTGGGAGCTGGCTATGGCATAGAGCACGTTACTCTACAGAAGCTTCTTCAAATTCTGGCAAAATCCAATTGCTGAACATATTCTGGAATTCAACACATAAGATGATTCAGCACGCATTATATCTCCAGCTAGCGCTCAAACGCCTTCTCGCAGTGAACAATTCAGACAAGTTTTGTAAAGTCTGGAATCCTCTTACCCTAACACCAAATGATTTGTGTACCTTAGCGCGATTAGAGAAAAGGTTAATGGTCTTTTTGCTAATGCGACTAAATTTCCTAGTGGTTCCCCATATCCAACTCTAGGCTCCCGGCTTCCTTACTACGGGTTCCTGCAAAATCAAATACATGAATATATCCAAAATGAACGTGCTTCTTCAACCACCCTTACCTCGGACTCCTCTGTCACTGGTTACGAGGTTTTTGTAGCCGCGGGTGATGCATACCAAAAGCTCAACCAGTACTGGGTAAAACCAGATTCATATACTGGACGCCGCAACCCTTGGCCCACGTACGAGGAACCCTTCTCGGTGGCTGGTGACATTGTTAGTACAAAAAGACGAAATCGGTTACCAAGGCATGGTTGGGAATTGTTGACGACAAGGAGGAGGCGCTGGAGGAAGAATTACTAGGAGAGGAGGCAGATTATGAGGTTGATAATGAGAGCTTTGCAGATATCGAAGAGACAGAGGAATCACAGATCGTGGAATAGTTGTATATAGTTAAAGCACCCGTTATTACCCCTGCTGGTGGTTGATCGAAATGGAATTGCCCCTGCTGAGGGGATCTGGTATGTTATTTTGAGACGGGAAAGCAACTTTAGGGAAGAAAGATTGATCATAAAGTCCCTAGGCTCAAGCATTATCGACTATACTCGAGCACACTCGACCAATTGCTCGAGCATTCGAGCATCGGGGTCCCTCGAGCAGATTATGCTCGAGCAGGCTCTTGGCCAACACTAGAGGGGTAGAGACCTCTGTGGTGGTTCCTGGTGCACCGTATAGGATGAAGGTTACCAGAGGAAAAGGGAGTCGGTTGGGATCAATGAGGGTTCTTTAAAATCAGTGACCAGCAAAACTCACGATGAATTGAGTAGGCAGTAGGCATCCCAGAGATAGTAGACAGTGGGGTAAGATAGAAGTGGTGGTAGGAGGAACCAAAAAAAGGCTCTAATGGGAAACTCACTATTGAGGTGTATGAAGTTACCGCCAAACGTATTACTATTTCGTAAGGAAAGAACTGAGCGGGTAAAAGGCCAATGGCGAAAAAACGAGAGAGAAATTCGTAATGTATAAGAAGGAACTCTACGGGCACCGACAAGGTGTAGAGCAAAAATCGGGAGGAATGAAAGAAAATAGGGCATTATAAATCGTTAGAGGGCTGCACCTGTACCAGCCGAATTTTCAGTACTTAGGGGAGTTGTTGAGCCCTGGAGCGCTCTGGTAGAGTAGTATTAGCAGTCGTGTAGCCAATTTGGGGCACACTAAAAACTCTGTTTGGTAGCGCACAGTTTTTGTGTAAAAGTCACCCTTCATGTTTTTCTTACTTAGACAAGCACATCCAACAACCACTGCAACCTTCAAGACACGCGCCGCGCAACAAACCTTTTTTTTGTTAAAAAAAAAAAAACACTGATAAGGTGAGTGAAATTTAGAGTTATTTATTTTCTAGGAAACTATACGATACCGTAAATTCTGGGTAAACTCGACTCACCGCCATACCGTAAAAACTCAAATAATAGAACCGTGTGCTATGTAGTCGAGAATTACCCACTTGAGAAAGGGGGCGAAAAACACAGCAAAAACGGAGCTGCTCAGCCCCCCTCAGAAGCGTAAGGAAACAGAAAAACAACAGACTTTACCGGAGGAGGCAACTCCAACGACATAGCACCC